GTTTGAAAACCTCCTGGGGATAAATGCCCATACTGAAGACCTGCTCTGAAATCCATCCTGTATCCAAGAGGCCAAAGCTAAGGGACTGGTCATATTCTGCTGGGGTGATGATACCAATGATCCCGAAAACAGAAGGAAACTGAAGGAATTTGGAGTTAATGGTCTAATTTATGATAGGTATTTGTTTTTCGTTAAAAACGTCTGTGGAATGTTGGAAAAAACATAGCTTGTATTAAACATTAAAATTAAATTTAGTTAGGGTAAAATTCTTAAAGTCTTCCACAGCTATTTTCTTTACTTCATATCCCAAATCCAGTCAATCTTGTTGGCTTTAACCTCAAGCTATATCTTGAGTCTGTGGGCTTACCAGTTGCCACTGTCAGCTGGGTCCCCTCATCTCTTGAGGTAGTCTGGTGACTGCCTCAACCCTTGCTTCCACATTCTCTCTCACTATACAACCAGAGGGGACCTTGAAAACCTATGCTCAAAATTATGTTGCTCCTAACATTCCCATGGTTTATTGTATCCCCTAAAGGAGAAAAGCCAGTGTCCTTACAAGGCCATTTATGATTAGACCCGCATTCTTTCCTGTTCCCACGGCCTCCCAGTTTTATTTCCCTCTGGAATCTTTCTTCCCACAACTTCCCTAGGTGCTAGTTACTTCTCTTTGTCAGAGAAAACTGTAGACTGAAATGTAACTTCCATGAGGGCTCCTGAATAAATAGCCTTTTTAAAATCATAACCCCTGTTCTCAAGATGACTCCTTACTTTGTTCCATATCATTTGTCACCAACTGACATACAACATGTATGTAATAAGCTATTTGCCTCTTTTCCCTGGTATGTTCTGTTCCCCAGTGCATATACATAAAGAACACGGGCTGCAGGAGGACAAGGCTTTTTGTTTTGTTTGCTGTCTTCAGAGGCTGCATATGATACACAATATGAACTCAAGTATTTGTTACGTAGATTTTTTTTAAAAGGTTCCCAAGGTTGTATGTTTAATAGCTATGAATGTGAGAAACAAAAAGTTGCTTTAGTATAAAGAAATTTGGGGTCAGAAAGAATATCATTTACTTGCTTGTGGTATTCGAGAGAGGAAGCGATAGAAGCTCTCACCAGACTTGCTTTTTAAAATATGAAGAAGAAACAATGCTTTCTTTGGATTTAGTACTTTGTTCTACCAAGTTATATCATATTCTTTAATAAAGATTTTTACTTCACTGTTTTTTCTGAGCTGATCTGGTTTATTTGCTTATTTAGTATGTATGTATTTAGTTTGTTTATTTTCAATTTTGGAGACAGGGAAGGTCTCGCTGTGTAGCTCAGGCTGGCTTTATCAGAAGGCTAGCTTCCAATTTGAAATCTTCCTGTCTCAGTCTCCCAAGGACTGGAATGACAGCACTGTGCACCATGCCTAGCTGTTCCAGTGTCTAAATTGTAGCCCACATACTACTTGCCTTGTCTGCCTGCCTGCCTTTTAAACTGTTTAGTCAATTTTACATGTCCTGTAGGTCTTTTTAATAGGTGTTTCCAACTAAGTAGAGATTAACATTTAAAACTAGCATTTTGATAGAAATGCTGGCTTTAGCAAATGTTTGAACATTTCATGTGTACATACATGTATCTGAGTTTTCAGAAGAAATGACTAAATAGTTTGGGGCAGGAAAAATAGACTGAGGTTATTCCATATATGACTTTGTAAAGAATATAAATTTTAGATCCTTCATGTAGAAGGCTTTGATTGGAGCCAAATGTTGACATGTTAATAGTAAAGAGATGTTAGATGATAAGTAACAAGAGCCAAAGAATGTTCTTCCTGGCCCAAAGTCTTTCAAGAGCAGAGCTGGAAATGGGAGGGAAGTTAAATTCGCTTTGACAGGGTTTGTGTGTTAGTCATAGATACAGTGTGAGGCTATGCAGGGGCCATTGGAAGTGGAGGGTTTGGAAGAGACAGCCTGGCATGGACTTCTCAGGGTCTCATGAGAGACAAGGTAGGTTATGTTAGCATGGATTTTTCACCTGTAAACATTATTATTACAACGATTTACTTTTTAAATATAATAAATATGTGCATATAGCATAAAAATTCAAATAGTTCTCTAAGGCTTACAATACAGCATTTTAAATATTGCTTCTGTTGTTCCTGGCCTGGTCCCTGTCTCCCAAATTTTTATTTTTAACTGCTTTACCTCTGTGCTTCTAAATAATATGGTCTGCTATTATTTTCTCATTATGAAGTTTAGACATTACAAAGGCGGTCTTGTGTGATTAGTGATTTGGAGTTAGGGGCATTTATGAGAGAGGGTTAACATTGGGGTTCTTTTAAAGGCAGGGCTAGATGTAGTCCTGGCTGGCTTTGACCTTGCTGTGTAACTGAGGATGACTTTGCCCTTCTGATCTTCCTGCCTCCACCTCGGGAGTGCTGGGATTACCGGGGTGCACCACCATACCCAGTGTATATGGTGCTGGGAATTGAACCCACACCCTTGTGCATGCCAGGTGAGCTAGTTCTGATTTTATGATACATAAACTGCTGCATTTTATTTCCCTTGAGAGTATTGCATTTGGGATGGCCTTTAATTTTTTTTTTTTTGATGGTTTGAAGAAATTTATTTTAATTTTTATGATAGTCAAACAGTCTTGTGTAGACATGTAGACTATCCCAAAGCTTCGGGATGGCCTTTAATTAATCTTGTCAAATGATTATCTAGTTTTAGTATGGCAAATATCACTTGCACTATAGAGTAAATTGATCCCCTCTCTCTTTTTGAGATAGAATCTCATGTAGCCCAGGCTGACCCCAATCTTGATATATAATCAAGGCTGGCCTTAAATTTTTATCCTCTTGCCTCAGCAGGTGCTGAGGTTACTGGTATGTACTGCCACACTCAGTTCAATCTATTTCTGGCCCTAATCTTGTTTCTGTCCTGTTTGGTTTTAAAGATTTTAAACTTTATGCTTTCATTTGTTATGTTTTTAAAATTTATGTTTTTGC